ATCGTCCTTCTGCTGCTGCTCCTGCTCCTGTTGCTGCTGCTGCTGCTGCTGCATCGGGGGGAGCAAGAGAGGGCCACGGGTAAGGAAGACCGGTATACTGTAGAGCAGCACGTAAGACAGGGTTATCAAGTCTTGCTGCTGCTGCTGCTTCTGCTGCTGCTGCATCTGCTGCAGCAGCAGCAGCAGATAGACCTGGTGTTGCTGCTAGTGGCTGCTGCAGCCACGCGAAGCAAACTGCAACAAATGCAGCAGCAGCAGCACAGGTGAGCATACACCCCACAAACCCTAGCCAACATTTCTTTCCTGTAGTATTATTCTTACAGCAGCAGTAACTCCTGCTGCTGCTGCTGCTGCTGCTGCTGCTTGCTGCTGCTGCAGCAGCAGCAGCAGTATCCGTGCTGCCCTTGTCCTTAGTAAATAGATCTTTCCTTACAGCAGCAGCAACACCATCATGATTATCATCATCATCTGCTGCTGCTGCAGCAGCAGCAGCTGCTGCAGCCCTTGCAGCAGCAGCAGCTGCCTTTTGTTTAGCTGCAGCCTTAGCTGCTGCTGCTGCTGCTTGTCTTCTGCAGCAGCTACGGAATACACCAGCAGCAGGATCCCCAATAGATAAGAGAGCAACAGCAAGAGCAGCAAGATGACGAGGAGACAGCAGCAAGACAAGAAGAGAACCCCATAAAAAAGGGACAGCTGTTGGTGTTTTATTAGGGTTTAGGGTTTCTTCTTTCCTTAACATCCATGATAATATATATACATATATATTATTTATATATTTATTATTTATACGTAATATATATATTATATATAAAAATAATAAACCTGTATATACACAAAAAAAACAAAGAAAAAAAAATAAACCCTAAACCCTAAACCCTAAACCCTAAACCCTAAACCCTAATTTGTAGAAAAAAAAAAAAACACTAATTGAGTATATAAACCCTTATAAGGAATTGTGTATTAGAAACCCTCTGCAGTAAATAGGGATAGGGAGAAAGTATTTATAATTAGGGTTTAGGGTTTATTAGGGTTTATAAGGGTTAATTAGGGTTAATTAGGGTTAATTAGGGTTTAGGGTTTAGGGTTTATAAGGACTTACTGATAGCTATACATATAATTGAATAAAAAAAAGGAAAAAAAAGAAAAATAAAAAATAAAAATAAACCTGATAAACTATGCTGCATGCGTCTTGGCCATTCAGAAGAAAGCCCCAAATCTAATTCTTGCTGCACTTGCTGCACTTGCTGCACTTGCTGCACTTGCTGCACTTGCTGCTGCTGCTGCTGCTCAGTGTCTGTACGACGCATATTATTTATTATTTGCTGCCTTGCTATACGCAGGGCAATAGTAAGAAAGAGAGGCAGCAGCAACTTTTTTGCTGTACTAGAGGAAGCAAATTGTGCTGCTGCTGCTGCTGCTGCTGCTGCTGCATCTGCTGCTTGTCCTCTTTTTAATGCATGCATTATCTGCTGCACTGCAGCAGCAAATGATGATAATAATCCTCTTGTTAATACAGCAACAACAGCAGCAGCAAATAATATAGATAATGCTAATACCTGGCGCTGCTGCATCTTTTTTTTATTTATTTTATTTATTTTATTTATTTTATTTATTTTATTTATTTTATTTATTTTATTTATTTTTCCTCCTACTAAATATAATTCATAAGGACATATATCCTCTCCTGCAGCAGCAGCAGCAGCAGCAGCAGCAGCAGCAGCAGCAGCAGGTGTATCCTCCTCCCCTGCAGAAGAAGAAGATGTATATATGTTTACCATCTGCAGCAACAGCAACAGCAGCAACTGCAGCAGCAGCTGCAGCAGCTGATGGAGACGCGCAAGAAAAAGGTAAGAAGAAGGTGCTGCTGCAGCAACAGCAGCAGCAACAGCAGCAGCAATTGCTGCAGCAGAAGAAGAAAAGAAGAAAAAAAGAAAGAAAAAAAGAAGAAAAAAGAAGAAAAAAGAAAGAAAAAACAAGAAATATACAATGTATATATAAATAAATAAACAAACAAATAAATAAATAAAATAAATAAATATAAATAAAAAAGAAGAGAAAAAAGAAAAAAAAAAGAAGAAAAAGAAAGAAAAAAGAAGAAAAAGAAAGAAAGAAAGAAGAAAAGAAGAAAGAAATTCTTTTTTTTTATTTTTTTATTTAATTGAGGTGTCTGCGTATACACCTGAATAAATAAAAAAACAAATAAATAAATAAATAAATAAATAAATAAATAAATAAATTTATTTTATTCTTCTTTTTATTTATTTATTTATTCTTATGGATTCACTTGCTAGCTACAACACTCGATAGCCATAAAGGTCCTGTTGCTGCTGCTGCTGCTGCTGCTGCAGCAGCAGCAGCTGTGGCTGCGGCTGTGTGGCTGCTGCTGTCGTTATATATATACATGATTGTCTATAAAAAAGAAAATAAATTCTTTTAATTGTTTATATATAATTAAATAAATAAAAATATAATTTTATTTTCTTTTTTATTCATTAATTAA